AAGAATGTTCAGCAGTCAGTCGCCCATTACAAAGTGGAATTCTTTACATTATTATTACTTGCACTCTGTGTCTGAGCGGATTGTATTATGTGCAAGCTTTTTTGTATGCTTTTACCATTCCGACCGATTTGACATAGAAATGTGCTGCAATGTTAACGGACCTAGGGCGTTCAAGTATCTTCGCAACTGGCCAACGGACTGACAGTCCTATGGCTCCCCCCCCCCCCCCCCCCACACACACACACACACACACACATACGTATTATATATTGCTAATAATAAAGTTTTCGAGGTTGCAGAACTGAGTGACATTTATGTGTGAGTATTGCATCGAGGGCCAGCATTTAAGGCAATATAATTTTAAACTATTAAAAGGAAAAAAGTAAAATAGTTTTACGCATAAAAGCTTATGCTTACTTATGTAACATATGTGTCTAAATATGTTATAAATATAATTTTGATTATTTGTTTGGCTTCTTAATATCAATTATTCCCATCCATCAAATATTCCCATTAATATTTCTTTGCAAACCAATTGATAAATAATACTGTTTAAATTTAAATACGTTTTTCAAGCTTAAAATGTCTATTATTGTTTGTTTTTATCCTGTTTTGGCCATAAGTTTGTTTAACGTTAGGAATATTAGAAAAAACCTTAATAATTTATTTAAAAAAATTATAAAAATACACACACGTATGTATGTATATGCTTCTGAGGCATTTGAAAAAATTGGGTTGTTACGATTGCATTAGTCTCATATACTAAATTTTAATGACTGAATGCATTCATTAGGCCGCTATTGAATGAAAGCGATGGCTTGGTGCTCCCATCAGTTTCAAATCGTGCGCTCTTTTCTCATGATCTACTCTGTTCTAAAGCGGGTTAAATAGTGATCTAATATGGTAGTAACTATTTTCTTATCGAATAACCTGGCACAGCAATTGTCCCAGAACGAATAAATACTGCCATGCAGACCTCTAATCAGTTCAAAAGATTTGTTATCTTAAGCTGCATTCAAATTTTAGTCCGTTTAAGATATCGCAACATCTAGGGAGTATTTTTTTTGCTAGCATAAAAGTCCCTTACAGAAGTACATAGTAGATGCAAAAGAGAATAAGCGATTGAATGATTTAACAATCGTTTCTATCCAAGTGTGCTTTCAGCTTTCATTTCAAATACCATAATAGAATAATTTTAGTGCATTACTAGTTTATAAGTGACGCAGCATCTGCCAATATACGAGTATATCTAAAAGCACAGCATAAGAAGCCACAGTTTGTACTAAATACGGAACTTTGCTAATGCAGAAAAGAGCATCATTAATTAAAAGCGAGGTAGATGCCGCTTTGCCATAAACAACAGTTTGTCCTTCCATTCATAAGCAAACTTTTGCCATTTTGCAAAGCTAAGGTCCCAGAACGCCACTCGCTTGCAATCCAAAATGTTTCGCGTTCCCATCTCAGTTGCTGGAAAACTGTCAAAACCCTCTAAACTTGTCGTTCAACAAAGTGAGATTATTTGTAGCACTGACTGTACTGTACTGTAAATGTTTGTATATTTGTCCCAGACTCGTCAAGCGCCATGTCAAAGGCTCTGATGGAAATGTCAGTCAAATTTAAATAGTTATAGTTGTGTCAGTATATTTATCTGCTGGATATCTATACTATTTAAATAGTATGCCGTACATAAATGCGAAAAAGTTCATTTCAATCATTGAAAAGTGCAATTGTGACAAAAAGTTAGAAATGAAATTCCGACAAGTGCACTTTTGAAGTGTTCAATGGCACACAAAATATAGCATTTCAATCTAAGTAGATACGAGTAAAGATGCAACTTTTACTTCACCGCCAAGGTACACATTACCAGGATACACCTAACAAAATTACGTGGCCTTAGTTAAATAAGTTTTTATACCCTGTACCCGTAGGGTAAAAAGGGTATATTAGGTTTGTGCAAAGTATGTAACATACAGAAGGAAACATCTCCGACCCCATAAAGTATATATATTCTTGATCAGCATGACGAGAGAAATCGATCTAGACATGTCCGTCCGTCTGTCCGTCTGGATGAACGCGAGGATCTCAGAAACTATAAAAGCTAGAATAACCAAAGTTGGCATCCAGATTCTCCTAGGTCCGAGTAAGGACGAGTTTATTTTATTTTTTGGAATTTTTCCCCCCTTCCCCCGCTACAGAATTTCGTCAATACCGTCCACATTTCAAATGCTACCTAAACCAAACTCTGCACACATAATTAACATATAATTGTCTACTGTTGTTCAAAATTTTATTCAATTCGGTCAATTCTAAGAAAAGTTACTAGCGAAACAAATTCTCTCCAGTGCAACCCCCCAAGCTGCAGCAACAAGTTCGCTCTTCTTCTTCCTCTTTTTGCTGCTGCTTTGGGCGCATATAACTCAGTGACGGAAGCTTACCTGGGTACAGGGTATTACACTGTCGGGCTTGCTCGACTGTAGCGTTCTCTCTTGTTTAATAGAAAGAATGAGATTAAGCTAAGAAGAAACTTTTTTCGAATTTAATAAAACATAATATTAGTTTTTGATTTAACTTAATTTATACAAATTAAGAGAAGAATCTGTTAATGTATTGTAGAGTTGAAAATGTTTCAAAATGTGTTTTAAAAACATTTTTAATTATTGTAGATTTAGCACTATTAAGAATCATTCTTAACTTTAGAATATAATTAATATTTTTAGTAATATTTAGAAGAAACTTTTTTCGAATTTAATAAAACATAATATTAGTTTTTAATTTAACTTGATTTATAAAAATTAAGAGAAGAATCTGTTAATAAATTATAGAGTTGAAAATGTTTCAAAATGTGTTTTAAAAACATTTTTAATTTTTGTAGATTTATCACTAACTTAAGAATATAATTAATATTTTTAGTAATATTTAGAAGAAACTTTTTCGAATTTAATAAAACATAATATTAGTTTTTAATTTAATTAAATTTATAAAAATTAATGAAGAATCTGTTAATAAATTGTAGAGTTGAAAATGTTTAAAAATGTGTTTTAAAAACATTTTTAATTTTTGTAGATTTATCACTATTAAGAATCATTCTTAACTTTAGAATATAATTAATATTTTTAGGATACTTAAATCTAAGTTTAAAGAACACAAAATATTTTGTTCCTAATCTTATATTTAGAAATAGTATTGCTTTTGGAAACGATTTTTCGTTAAAAATAATTGTTTCCCACAAATTTGTTTATAAACTAGCTTTTATATTATTTATTTATTTACAGCTTACCTGTAATTTTAATTACCTTTAAAGCTAAGTTAAGTTTAGCTCTTTCTTTTGTTTAATACATTGAAAACAAATAACATCTTACATTATTTTACATTTCAAGTACATATTCGTTCATTTAATTTGAATAAATTTAAAATTGTTTATTCAAGCTAAATTATTAATCATCAGGGAACTGATAACCCTCGCAACTGCAAAGTCCTAGGCCGATCAAGTTTTTTTCTTTCTTATCCCGCTGTTAATGATTTATGTTCTAATTTTTATAATTTAAGGACTACTTACATTTCTAGAGTGTTTTTTTTTTTTGAGTGTAGTTGGAAGTCAACTCTTATGTGCACACCAACGTCTAAGGATATATATCTGAGTGCCCGTGCAATGCAATTTCAACAAGTTGTCGGCAATTTGCTTTACAGCCACTACCACAAACAAACTGCTGTGGCTTCGATAATGTCTGGGCCATTGCCATTTCAATTATTTTTACCAACTTTATGGCCAAATCGATGCAGAAAAACGCTTCTTGTCAGCCATAAAACTGTTAAGCCACAAATAAAATTGCGATTTTCGTGAAAATCCCGTGGAAAATATAAAAAATCACTAAATAAATAAACTTAATTTCTTAAATATCTATATACTGACTTTATGTCATGCAACAGCATGTTTCTGGATATATATGGTTATATACAGGTGTGTGTGTGTGTGTGTGATTTAAGTGTGTGGCAGGGTATGTTGATGTATCCGCCATTCCAAGCAGGAAACGCTGTAAAAGTTGACGTCTTTGGCAATTGTTGTTATAAATATTAAATCAACATTACACGCGGCCCGTAAAAACCATAATAAACAAATAAATTTGAGCTTAAGCTCATCGCACATTTGAGCGCGTGATTTATTTGGCAGTCCTCGCAACCAACCAGCACAGGAGGCTTTAGCTTACAAATATATATGTATATACCATAAATGTGTAGTAAATTTACGTATATAGCATGTACTGAAATTTTATTAGCTTGCTTGTGCGGTCAATTTGTTGTCAGAAGTATATTTGAAGCAGACGTCCATTTAACGAATCCATTAAAAGAATGTAATTGCAAAACTTGAGGGAATTTAATTTAACTAAATTCCTAACTCTCATAACATCAGAAGTACACACATTAGTTATAGATAGAGGAAACAAACCAAATCAATTATCTTGTATTTTTCTTTTTCAAATAACAGATATAGAAAAGCGTGGATTTCTTTCTCTATTTAGTTAAAATATTCCGTTAAACTCTGCAATAAAAGAAACTTAAAAATACTACTACTTTCAAAGTTCATGCACTATGTTTTAAAATTAATTCAGTTATTAATAATAAAAGCTACTTTAAATTATGAATAACATGGGGAAAAATTTGGGGAAATAATCAAAATATAAAAACGAACTAATAATTGCAATTAATTGATGCGAATCGAAAGGCGTAAGAAGGAGAACTGCTTATAAAATAACACGATAAAAAATACCACGAAGTGTATCAAAACTAGCTCAGAAAGCACTCTTAAGCAAGCTCTTAAATTCAAAATATAAAACATTTATTTCCAAACCTAGCACAGCAAATTTTATAAGAGCTTTATAGAGGTGCTTTATATCTAATTAATATAGCTTATAGCCATTATACAATATCTGTGAAATGACTTTGACAATTGGTTACAAGCAAATTCATTTCAGTCTTTTGTAGATTAATCGTCTATATTAAAGATGGAAAGCATGCAGCCGATAACGACAAAGCACTGTGCTTCAATTGTGGCAAACAAATATCGAGTGATACGCAATATTGGTAAGCCACTGCAACACAATAGGCGTCACTCCAAAAACATACTCGGCTTCTTTGCAGGGAAGGGCGCATTCGGCGGCGTTTACTTGGGCGAGTGTATTAAGAACGGCGATGAGGTGGCCATTAAGTTCGAGAACGCCAATGCGCCTGGGAGCCACCTTGATCAAGAGGCCCGTTTATATCGTTGTTTAAATGGTGACGCCGGCTTTCCACGCATGCGCGACTTTGTTCAGGATACGAAGAATAAAATGTTGGTTATAGACCTGCTCGGTCCATCGTTGGAGGATCTCTTCAACTATTGCAAACGTCATTTTACTGTCCAGACAGTTGTGATGCTGACCATTCAGATGATATGTCGCCTGGAGTATGTGCATTCAAAGTGTTTCATTCATCGTGATATTAAGCCCGATAACTTTCTCATGGGCATCGGATCCAACTACAACAATCTTTTCCTGATTGATTTTGGCTTGGCCAAAAGATATTGCGATCCAAAATCGCGCATCCACATAGTTTGTTGTGAAAAACAGAGCTTTGCGGGCACGGCTCGCTATGCCTCGATCAACACCCATCTGGGCAACCAGCAGTCGCGTCGTGATGATATGGTATCCCTAGGCTATGTCATGGTATACTTGGGTCTGGGCTCACTGCCCTGGCAGGGCCTCAAAGCCAACAGCACGCATCAGAGATTGGAAAAAATCTTCGAAGTGAAGAAGTCCACTTCGATCCCGGTGCTCTGTAGCGGCTTACCGCCTGAGTTCGCAATGTATTTGAATTATAGCTGTTTTTATACCCTGTACCCAAAGGGTACAAGGGTATATTAGTTTTGTGCGAGTGCACATGGAACACACAGAAGGAGGCTTGGTAGACCCCACAAAGTATATATATTCTTGATCAGCATGACAAGCCGAGTCGATATAGCCATGTCCGTCTGTCCGTCTGTCCGTCTGACCGTCTGTCCGTCTGTCTGTCCGTCTGTCTGTCTGTATGAACGCAAGGATCTCCGAAAGTATAAGAGCTAGAATAACCAAACTTGGTATACAGATTCTCCTGAGACCGAGAAAGGACGAGTTTGTTCATTTTTTCTGATCCACCCCCCCACTCCCCCCCTATTAACGATTTTCTATAACTCCCGTAATTCTTGGAATTTTGAACTAAAATTTGGTAGTCACATTAGGTTAGTAATTATATATCCGTATACCAAGTTTCATTATGAAAGAATGATCAGAAAGAAAGTTATAGCCATATAACCAGGCCCAATGCACACATACATACATATGTACAAGTACACAAACACGCATAGACACGATTCTGATGTAATTGTAAATGTATGTATGCATGCATGGAATATTTTATATTTAATTAGTTAATATTTAGTTAATTAATTAAATTAATTTAGTTAATTAATTAAATTAAATTAATTAATTAATTTAATTACTTTTTTGTGGGGTGGTACAGGGTATTTAAGAGTTGAGCCTGCTCGACTTTAGCATTCCTTTCTTGTTTAGATTTCGATCAGCGGCCAGACTACATACATTTACGACAATTATTCTAGTAAGTTTTTTTTTTCAATCTAGACAAAATATTCAGATTTAATGACCGGTGAGCTTACAAGTCAATTAGAATCACTTTGCCTAAACAAAAGACCCTTTCTTTACAATTTTGTATATTTTAAAATAAGTCTCAGTGGTTGCGATATTAAAATCCATCATTTTCAATATCGACCGAAAATTTCTCTATTAATTAATTATTCCTTTTTCGATTGGAATGCATTTTGTTGTAACTAATCTCAATGATTTTTCAGTAAATATGTTCTTAGCTCTAAGCATTTCGCTTTCGACATTAAAAGCTTAATATATTAAGTGAGAAAAGATAACTAAAGCATTTTTAAAGTAACATTGTAAGTCATTTAATTTCAAGTCGAATTTGTTTTTTAGAGATTTTATTAGATTTAGAGCTTACCGATAATTCATGAATATAGTCAGATTTATAGAGGCCCATTGAAATCGTCTCACCAACCATTAATATTAAATTTTTCAGTAAACTGATGAGATCTCTCAAAGGTGAACACAATTTCGTTTACGACTGGATATTGCTAAGAAATAAAAATGACACTAGTCGTCAGACAGAGCTATTGGGCCAGCCTGATGGTGATAAAGAAAACGAAAAAAGGAGCCAATGTGAACCCACGACCCACAAAAAGAAAAAATCAGAATGAGTTTATTAACGACAAAAATGTGTTCAGACTTGATGAATTACCTCAATAGTTTTTTTTATACATGAATTTATGTTTTTATTTAGATATAAATAGATGTTCCTTTATAGTCTATATTTCCAGAAGTAGAAAATACAAAGCACTTTTTCCAGTTGGCTGAAAATTTGCTAGCTTAACATTTTTACTCTGTATTATTATCATTTATTAAAATATAAGAGCTTTAGTCTACAAATTGATGAATGAAATGAATTTAAAAAATATTTAACTCTGATGTTTCCTCTTCTTCCGCGCTAACCTTACGAAGCACTTAATTGAAGCCATTTAAGCGTCAAAAGCTGATTTAATATTTTTTTTTTCAATGAGAGCTTCTCTTAAAGCCGTTACGCATTAATATCCGACTTAATCATATTTAATATCTAAGGATTAATTTACAAAAAAAAACCTTGTTCCACCCTTCTCTTGCGAAAAATGTAAACGAAACTTTGAAGCACGATTTAACATATTAAATGACTATTAGGCCATTAACAGAATTATAATGAATATCAAATAATATTTACATTTAAATAAATAGAAAAAATTAAGAATTGCGATTAAATAACTGAGCTTATTAATTTCTAGATTGGGTTCGAAATAAATGTAATTTAAATGAGTTTTAAGTAATTAAACTTATGTTAAAGATTAACATCATTTTATAAGGTAAATTCACTTTGCATTTATTAAAACATGTACTTTCTACTACTTAGTATATGTCTGATTACTTTGCTGTTAATATTCCGGCATCAATGATGTCAATCTTTGTTGCTCTTTTCTTGGCTCACATCCAAGGCAAATGGCACGTGCCATATTAAATCCTCAATATCAGTTTTTTGCCACCTGAGGCAATGCAGGCCAGACTCTCAATGTCGGCAGGTATCAGTTTTCACTGACAGGTGAGAATGTAAATAAGAAAAAACTATGCAATAAATGTGCCGGCGATGCAGAGGAGTGCATTAAATACGCGTAATTAAGGAATTGAAGCTGAAAGGAGGATCATTAAAAAGGAGAGGACGCCGAGAAGCCAAGTCCGTCCAGTCTCTGCAAATTGATTCATAACCAATCGCCTCTGCGTTTTCTTTTTTAAAGGCTTCATTCATATATCAATGAATTGTTGTAGGGAGAAGCATGATTAATAGTTTGCTTTCAACACAATTTCACAAATAGCGAACACTGAGTTATAGATTGGACAACGCGAAAGATTGCAAATTCGTTCAACACGGCATTGATTTTGGACTTTATATTGGAGGGACCTCAGATTTGGTCGCTAAGCTCAATATTTATTACTGAAAGAGTATTAACCGAATGTAAATTTTGGGTGGTACGAGTATAGCTAATCGGAACTCGTTGTGGGAAAATGATTTCATATAATAAATTAAAATAAATTCATGTAGAAATATTTCGAAAGATTTTGTTATGAATTATCAACTACACTAAACCAATTAAACCCATTTTCTGTTACATTAATAAATAAAATGCAAAGGACTAGAGGAACAAGAGGAGGAGTGAACAAGCCACTGTGGCCGATGTACTGGACTATAGTAGCTCATCCTGCCTTATGAAGTTTTCTTGTCGCTAAATGCATTATTTGCGCAGATGTTAAAATGTCTTGGCGAAATTGCTTCTCCTCCTCTTATTCCTCACTATGGCTGGTAACGTCCTTGTTGCAATATTTGCATTGTGCATCGATAAACAGTTTCCTTTTACTCTACCAAGAGATGCAGGAACTTGGTTTTCTTATTCAAAGAGGCCATAAGCTTCTTTAATAATCTTCCATTCAAAGAATGATGATAATATGGAATGATGAACGGTTGGAAGAGCCTACTCTTGCTAGCTCATCAACGCTTTGAACTTCGAATGATGCGTCCTACAATAGGGTATAAATGTTGATCTCTAAAAATTAGTGCTATCGTCTAAAATATCAGTGTTTGGATGCCAAGTAGAGCTAAAGAGCGTGTTGAAAGTACATATAATGAGTGTTTGTTTACAAAAGGGACAAGCATAATAAATATAGTAGCAGAATTCGAATTAGTAATACGAAAAATATTTGATTTAGTCTAAAAGCCTAATTTACATATGCTTGTAAATATTTGATTTATTATGCATTTTTTGCGTAAACATGCATTTGTTAGGTTGAATATTCTGAAACATTAAAGTTTATGCCGTGGGCTGCTTATGCTTCCACCAATTGTTATTCAGTCAAAACTGTAGATAGAAATAACATTGAAATTCGTTTAATTGCTTCAGCACTGACTATTTAAGTTACAGAACCAACGAATTTTTAATATAAGATTGTTTGCTTATGCAGCCATCAATTCTCACTAATACTCTATTCAATATTTATAAGTCAAAATTAGATTCATAACAGGTCGACTGACATCTGCATTTATGTGCGCATATGTGACATTATTACTTGAATTCATTTCGCTATGATTTTTTTCCCATTTGCATTTTAAATTCATGTCAAAAAACGAAACTTTTTCGTATGTTTTGTGCGCTTGTTATATATAAATACATACATGAATTTCTTTCTTCAAGCTCAATGAACTGTAAGATACTTGCAGACTGTTTACGTGCGTGTAGGCCAGACATAGCTAATGGACTTAAATATAAATCCTGCCTTGATCTCTGATTTTTTTTTCTTCGTTTTTTTATAAAATTGTGGAAGTTCTTTTCATTTTGTTTTGTTTAAGAAAGTTAAATTGCAGAATTCGTTTAACTTTCGACGCTAAAGTGAAAGGTATTTGCATTTTTTCATGAGTTCAGCTTCATTCGGCCAGCTAATTTATGCATCGGACATTTCCACGAATCCAATTTACGTCTTCACCTGCCATTTATGTACATTTCCATTCGTCATTCCCCTCATCTAGTCATTAACTCAATACCTCAGATAAGTGTAGCCAGGCCACAAGCCATTAATCTTCCAAGCAATCCAATTTGACTTATGGATGTGTGTTTGAGAGTTCTTTTGCATGAGGTAGAAAAGGCACGTGCTGCTCGGTAGATTGTGGCAAGTTCGCAGTTAACTTTTCAGAAATACTTGACAGCCGACTAATTTGGTATGCATTCTGCCAACTGCAGTTTTCTATCAACTCTTAGTTAGTAGACATAGTAGCTCTTATGAAGCAAAAGTACACCGAACAAAACTTTTAATATAAATTCATGCGTCTATGGTGAGAGCTGTGTAATCCAGTGTCTAAGCTCAGCTATTGAAATAATTATGTTGGTCCATACAATTCCCGTAATACTTTGGAATATTTAAAAAAAATATTTTTATTTATGAAATGTATTATAAGTATTTTAGTTTATCTCCTTATTGTCATCTACATCTAATTTGTTTTTAATAACATTTAAATTTTCACCTACTAGTACCTTTCATTTGTTTAATTTAATTATCATTTTTAGGCCTAGAGTCTTATTTAATAACACAAGAAAATAAATAAATAATTTGCAATATAATTTATCTATTTATAGATAATATAATATTTGCAATAAATATAGCGAAATGTTTAGAAACTATTTTTAAATAAGTATGTTACCCTTTTTGAAAACGCAAGCCTGATTCTTTAACGCGTTTCGGCTGCCTATCGTACCCTCATCAGGGAGTGTGTTTATTAAAAAACATTACATCCATGCATTTTTATATTAAAATATATACATTTTAAATATAATTAACGTTTGTACTAAGGCATCATCACTAATCGTCCGTTTTATGTCTTCATTAAGGTTCCTATATTTAAGTCTTCTTTCCCTGCTCTCGCATTGCTGTTCTATGGCTTAAATTTTCCTAACTATCCTTAGTCAATACATCCCGTTTTTGTTGAGTGCTTTGCCGGTGCTGTCGTAATTTTTCCCATTTTTGTGGCTCCTTTGTGTCCACCGTTCGCTTTGATGTGCCTGTGTATACTCCATTGCACTTCTTCCATTCCACTTGCAATCTTTTCTTTGCATATCTGGTCTTTTATGTTGGTACATAGTTTTCTTCTTGAGCTTTTTAGTTAACAAATTTTCAATATACTAGCACAATACAATGAATTAAATATGATTATGCTAGGTAGAAACATTGCTGGATGTTATTGTTTTATTTAGCTTATATGGCTTTTTCGACAGCCTATATTTGTTGACTTATTGTTAAATAAAATATATATCTTATATTTGTAAAAATTGAAACATATTAATATTTAAACAAAAAATCCCCTGTTTTTTTATTTTCATTATTAGGCGTTCACTTTTCTTCTGCATAAATTGTGAACTATTTTATGGAAGTTTTTTAAAACTATTAACTAAGATTCTAGAGTCCGGTGAAAGTCAAGTTAAGGTATTACGACGCCTAGATGTATATTTTTACGCTTTGAAATTGGGCGTGGCTAAGATTCTTTCTCCTTTGGGTCAACTTATCTATACAAGTTGAAGAAAAATAACATTCACTTCATTTAAATCTTCCGTAATTTTCATAGCGTTTAGATATTCTTAAATATTTATAAATATTCCAAAGTCTAAGAAGAGCTTTACCATTAATTTGTAATTATGCTTAAATTTAGCTCGCCGAAAGTCCTAATGAACTAAGTACATAATCCATTTACAAATATTTAATTACAAAGCAACAATTTTATTTATAAACAGGTGTAAAGCGTTAGAGGTTTTTATTAGTGTACAGAACTGTAGTTTAATCCATCTGTTGCCGACTTGCATGCAAATAGCGTAGAGGATGCGCTCCATGTGTTGTCGCAGGACTGTGTGACGCAAATCCTTTGACGATAGTCGCATGCAAAGCACTTGCTGGGCTTCGTCCATGACTGCCAAGTGCTGGCTTGAAGGCAAATGCAAACAGACGTTACAGCTACTGGCAAAGAATGAACTGCGAGTTGGCAAAAAGGGGAAAAGGAAGGCACACACGCGCATGCAACAAGGAAAATAGCCAGCAAGCGGATTTCCTTTCGCAACTTTGCAGACTGTCGAAGGTTCGAATTGCTCCCTATCTTTTTTGTTGTTGTTGCTTATCCGCCTAGTTGAAATATAAGCAATAAAGTTTTGCAACTGGATATTTTTTAAAAGAAATAAAACTGTATGAACGAAGTGAATATAAAGCTTTGCAGTTGTCTTTTATTTTGTTTTTGTTCAGTTGAGCCCGTAAAAAAATGAAATTTAAAACAGTTGAGGGAAAAACTCTCGAACGTGCCGAAAAACTGCAAAAAGATGAAACAAACTTAAACACTCTCACAAATGTGCGCCGCCACATCCGCAGACAGGATATGAATAACGGTTTCTATATACAAGTATGTGTGTGTGTGTGTGCTGCCTACGTGTTTGTTTGTTTGTTTGTTTGTGGCACTGGTATGCGGTGTCTGGAAAACGGTTCATGTTTGAATTTTTAGGCTCCCGCTGGCACAAAACACTTTGCATTTCCAAGTATTTTTGTTGCTGTTTATTAAATTGAATACACTTTCCCAGCTATATACACGCACTTGCATGTTATCGGTACGCCCAAATTGGTTTCGAACTTTTATCTCAAGTTTTACAATTTCATTTAAATCGTTCATATTTCCACACTCTCGTACAACTCTGCGTTTGCGTATTTTTTTGTTAGTTTAGTTTTATAATAAAATGTAAGACTGCAAAAAAGGGATTCGGTTTCAACAGCACAACAACTAAAATTAAACAAACTTTTGGTTTAATGGAAAATACGTAATACAGCTACATTATGCAAAAATATTTCAGCATTTTTAAGCCAATATAAAATATTGTCAACATAATAACAAAATGTTGTAGAAAAGACGTAAGCCTTCATTTTACCGAAACTTTCATGCTTGATGTTTTAATTGTTGTGTGAATATTTTAAACAAATATCTACTTTTCATCGCATGTTTAGGTACTTTTTTTTTTAGTTCAATCCAACGCACAACTGTGCGTATGCGTTATATTTTCTATGCATAATTTATTTGAACTAATATATGTATCATCTGTTTTTATTGTTCTGTCTTTATACCAAAAATGCACATTTAATTGCACACTAATTATTTCTTTTTTGGAAATACATTTGTGATGAAATATTATGTCCAAGCAAAAATGTTTGTATACATTTTTTGTTTGATTTTTTTTTTTTGTGTTTTACAGTAAAATGTATTTCTTTCAATTTGAACATAAACCATATTAATTTACACAAAAATTCAATGGAATTTTGTGTTGTTTGAAAACATTACGAGGAATTTTATATGAAATGTATTAAATTAAGAACGAGTGCGTGAAAATTGTCATTTATTTATAGTTAATATAATTACTATTGGCATTGTGGCAATAGCCCTAGAATAGTTATTAGAGTTTGGCAAAACTAATTGATTAATATAGTTACTATAGGAATAGTGGCAATAGCCCTAGAATAGTCATTATAGCTTGGCAAAATGAAGTAGCCGGCCAAAAATAAAAAGTCGAATTTATTGAAAACATTTAAATCGTTAAAATACTGTCATGATCATCAACAAACAAATTTTAACTACGGCAAACATTTCCAATGCAGAAATTTGATGTTTAATTAACGAAAACTGCAACGTTATTTAATAAGGACTTCAGATTGTTTGTTTTATGATTTATGTGAATTCTTCAAGAGTTGGTCTTTGAAAGCATCTCCAAATAATTTGCTTTATGTGTCTATTTGACATAACAATCACCATTTACCACTAACTACTATTTGACCTCTTAATCATAAGTACTTGACCTGAGCGCACAACTAATAACCTTTTCGTCCTTTCTTTATAAATAGCACACATATATATAATACTGCACTAAACCCGCACACACACACACACTGCTGTACTCATGTACAGGCCTTGGCATTTGCCATTTGGGAGTGTTTAATAAATTTTGCCGGCCAACACAGTTTGTTCCCAAAACAGCTGACAACAAAGCCTTAGCCTAATTAATATGTTTATGATAATTGCTCAAATTAGCAGCACAGACAGCTGGCAAAGCAAACACATCTTTTCAACCATCCTGACAACAAGGAGGCCTCGAATAATTTTCCATTAAATTAGCAGATATTTCGCACTGGCTAGATCTGGTTGGCTAGATTGCGAGCCTTTTAATGGAAATGGAAAACTGCTGCAGCAGCGTTTGTTTTGCGAATTGGGCTTTGGCGACAAAGGCCGACAACGTCCAGCCTTGCCGATTTGCAGGGACAATGAGGCGCATGGTTGTTGTGATAAAGCGTTTCAAGCGTTACGACCACAACGCATTATGTAATTACGTTAACATGCATTTTCCGTCAGCTTGTGGAAAGGGGAGGTGGATATAACGACTAGGTTGAGGAGGAAGTCAGGGCTAACCCAGGAGACAACACAAGTTCGTATATCCATTTCAATCAGCCGATAACCTATTCTATCTGCTTATCCAACTGCCCTCCCAACGTTTTGTGCACTCAAGCATTGTAATAAAAGCCACATCGGCAATCACAGCAGCCGCAAATTAACAGCAAGAATTGATTGCAATTGGTTGTGTCACTAATGGAAATGCTGTAATTACTCGAACGCATGGGTTTACCTTCTTATGTAAGCTTCCCGCAAATATTTCCTCCACATTTTCCATGCACATTTTATACAGGATCTGCCAAAAAAGTTTCAACTAAGTTCAACAGAAGAAACTTACTTACTTGTCTACAAAAAAGTATTGAGAGTGAAAAATACGAGTTTTTACACTTTCATGCTAATCTAGCTCCCTTATGGCTGTCATGCATACAAATTCTCCAACTTTAGCTGCACCTATTTATGGGCCATAAAAAGGGATTTGGGTACAACATGCCGGCCCTTAAACAAGTATATTTTAGGTCATAATTTAAGAACTTGAATGCAGAAAAGGGTCTGCCAAGACACTAACTAAAAAAAGCCGGAATAGTCTAAATATTGCGGCAAGAACTTTATTTAGATTAACGGCGGGCGTATCCTCAAACCTTTCTTTTGTTTAAGCACCGAAACGTGCTGGGGTTAATGTTCCTCTCATGGTGAGAGTAGCAATCGCATTCCTAATGGCCAATTGGCCGCTGTCATGTCGAGAAGATAAGCAAACAAGACAGCGACGCTTTCAAAGCAAATGGCCAAAACAAACAACTAACAACAAACACACAACGCGTATACAGACATTGTAAAATTGAAATGGAACCCAGCTAGGTTCAATGCCAAGCGCAAAAGGCGCCCATCAATCACATCGATCCGTGGGTCGCCAGCTGAGATTAATGGGAAATTATGGGCGCCGACATAGCTAAGGATTCAGGACCAAGTTCAATTGCTTCTTGCAGATAAATTCTGCGTAAATTGCTACACTCAGAGATAAAGGGCAAGGCAAATGAAATGTTCGGAATTTATTTTTCATTCAAGTTTTAATTAAAAGAGAAAGACTGGAAAATATTCTTAAATAAATTCAATTTAAATACAGCTAATTAACATTACTTTTCACATTTCAATTTTGCCTTTTTCAAACAAAAAAAAACAGACAATAATCTATGTACAAATGACTGAAAAAATGTAAGCTTAATAGTTTTAAGGTGAAAACAGTAACTGGGACGGCAACATACTGTGCAGATCCTGAGCTCAAGCACTCATGCAAGTTGTCTGACTTTTAGAGCATCGTTCAGGTAGTAGTATTCGCAATAAGGAAGGCGGTGAAGTTGGCTTTAAAGCTGGCATGCAGCGAGGCAGAAGAGAAATAGACTGGATTGAGGATGGCGGAGACTTTGGCAAGGAACAGAGCAAGCACGAACGACATACTAAACTCCTTTTGAGCTCTCTACAGCAGTAACCAATTGGAAAGCTGGTAGCAATGGGGAAATCACTACCAATGGCATAATGAGCCACTCACTCAATACCTCTTACAACTCCGAAGGAAGGAATGCACACTAATAACGACCTAACTCGAAAGTCCTTGCTTTTTAGCAGCCCATGCCAAAAAACTAGTCATTATAGCAGACTTCAAATTCAGGGAACCAAAAGCTATTGAAAGAATGAACCTCCTCTACTATTGCGTTGAACTCGTAACATAGGCTTGCCTCAATGAAGGAGGCAGGGTAACATTTTCAAAGCACAGCAGGATACTGGCAGGTTATTAAATCACTCTTCAAAATTATCTCAAATTTTTAGCATCCACCCATTGACTGTTTGGAGATTAATATTTAAGCAGCTAAGTAGCCTCATGTGGAATATTTAAAGCGAATATAGTTAAAGAAATGTTGAATAATTTCAAAAATGTTTCGAAGAATTTAATGTTCCATATACTGCTCAGCTTCTGTACAGCTTTGTAGCATGCTCTGCACTTTAGTACTATGATTCTGCGGTTCGTTTTCGCAGTATAGAAAGCATCGGGAATTTATTAAGTCCAGAAGTAATTCCTACTTCGTACCCTCCGTGGCTTAAGCTAGAATCTCAACATAAGGTTTTGCCTTTTAATCGTCCATCATTAACAATTGTGTTTGAATGAATTTGAATAAATATATATACTAGCTAAGTAAAATTGTATTAGAATGAATTTAACTGCACTATTTAAATGTACACTATTATTTCTCTAGGTGTACTACACGTGGCAGGAAGTACAAATTCGACACAATGACAAGGCATTGAAATGTCAACAGAGTGGCAGACAATATAAATGTTGGAATTGTCTGACAAATTCGCTTTTAATTGTTTAAGACAGACAGAAATTTGTCATTCTGATCATTTATTCGTTTTTGATAAGCAATTGGTTTTTTTATGATTTAAGCTGGATGAGTGAATAATATTAAGCTCCGATTAAATTTCACGATTTAAGAAAGCGTAAAAGTTAGGCCAGCGTTGTCTGGAAAAGAAATGCAATTAAAACAAGCGCCAAACTTTATTAATACTTTTTTAAGTGAATAATTGCAATATACTGCCATATATATACAAAAGAGGCTTATCGATTTTCTCTTCTTGCAATTAATGGCTATATAGAGTGCATACTCGTACATCCCAAAACAACAACAACTTCGCCGGTAAAACTTGTCACACATTTTCTCAAGAAACACCATGATGTCTGGCAAATCGAACAATTTCTCCAGACGTTTGAATGGTTCTTTATGCTAGTATTTGATTAACTTTGGCAAAAGTTAAGCTATCGATTATGAACAAAAGTTGAAGATGAAGGTTTTTTTTTTTTTGTATCCACGTGTATCTACGACGTCTTGAAAACTTTTTTAATTTACAGAACCCTATCTCCCCTTTTGAACAACTTAATAAATTATGGAACAGTAATTAGAATCCCATGTCTAGAATGCATACTCGCTGTATAGTGTGAGTGCTCAACGATAATTTAGAGCTCCCAATTCGAACATGAATAAATTCTTTAGATAACATGTTATAGAATATCTTCACTGTTGTCCCTATTCGAGGTCGTCGGTTAGGGGAGCGGGTTCGAAGGCATCTCCGACTTCTTTGATTGTTGTTATGCGGGTGCCAAACTCCTGCATCCTTGTGATCAGCATATCGAACACTTGATACGGCAGAGAGGCCTGCAGGACTTGCAACAAGCGAGTCGGCTGATTGCACACCAAAATGGCATTCGTCAAGTGTTCCACGCCAGTCTCGAACTCCCCGCTGGAAATCAACGCCTCGCCCATTTTTATCTCCTGGAGGAAGTACTTCTCGATACCGTCCTGATCGCACAGATCGGGACCACCCGCCATCATAGCCTCCTGTTTCCGGCGAGCTAGGCGACGACGCTCCCGCAGCTTCCTCTTGAAGTCCGGATCGCTGTGGCGTTGATGATCAAAGTAGACGCAATATGCGACAAAAGCAGCAGTCGCCATGCCACCTATAAAGCCAATCAGTTTTCCAATCATCTTCAAATCTGTGTAGAAAGGTGTGTATGTCTGTTTATAGCTGTCTAAATAAAATATATCGACGTTATCGCTGCAACTCTCAGAGTCTGCTCCACACGCTAAAAGGCTTTGTGTAACGTATTTGTAAAACTATTGACCGAAACGACAGTTGCTAAAATCATTCAAAGAACTTATTTTTTACATCACAAAAACAAACAAAAAATTTTAAAATAATTTTTGTAAAATATTTGTGTTAAAATATTTGTTGTAGAATCGAGCTCTCTCTACTAACTAATATGTGTTGTGAACAGTTATTTTTAACGAGATCCGAATGAAATGACAGTTGTTGCGAAGTATACCCTGATATTTGGAGTTGCTGGGGTAGGTGCACTAGAATTTTTGAAGAAAATATGGGTTCAATTCGTAAAGTGCCAAAAATTAATTATTTTCTGGAACTTAGCGCGTAGTGGTTTATTTATTTAGTTATTTATTCAGGGGATAATCAGTCTGCATAGGTGTTTGATATTTACAAGGGGACCGAACTTAATAATGTATACCTGTTACAAGTAATAACAATGACAGAAATATTTTAACAATAATAGGAATACTAAACCAACAAATCAGCTGGCTGTCTTCTTTTCAGTCGTGGCCTGGCCTGTCTGTTGCGATTAGTAAGGCCGTTGTTTTGATCTCCAGATTTAGATGATAAACCAGTCTTACTCAGTTATACTCCCTTAGGCTTTATACTGAAGTGTTTGGACCTGTATGCGGTTCATTGCTGCAGCCAATCCCCAAATCTGGATGCCACCTTACATCTAAGTAGCACCAAACGAGATCAGCAATCAGGGGGGCATCATAACCTTTCCTTTCTTCCCTGCACTCTAGTTCAGCATCACGGAGTTTTCGTTGCCACCTTTCGTGCCTTTCAGCAATACAAATCATTACCCTTTTCATTAATTTAATCTCGCTATTAAATCGTAATTGTATCTATCAGATTAAATTTATTGCATCCATCAGATTAGATTCATTCTGTTATACTATAATTAGTATAGCGAAGAAAATTACATTTTCATTATATATATTTTAGTAGGTTGCTTTAAATTTCTGCTCAATATATACATAATTATATATGTATGGCTTTGCCTAGATGTAGTAGAAACATAAATATATTTTCTACTAATGAATTTCCAGGAAAATTTCATCCGGGGAACGATGGCCATGTATGTAGTTCTCGAAAAATATGTTATATTTTTCGCGTTCCAACTGTTGCATTTGTCAGAAGAAGTGACACTGACATGACATTTGCACATTCTCTTGAAAATTTCGGTTTTGTTTCTATATATGAATATATATTTGCATGTGTGTATGTAAATGCGCGCAAATATTTCATATTAGTTGTGCGCGATGTGACAGTGAAAAGTTCATTTTCAATTGAAGTCGCATCGATTATTTAGTTTATATTGCAAGTCAAATTAGTTTTAACAGCTAATGTGCCAGCCTCAATTCAGAGACGTCTGTTGTCTGTCCGTGTGAATGCTAATATTTGAAAAAGTACTCCTATTATTTACTAATATTTAATAATATTGATAATTGCTTTTTTCATAAACATAATAAGTGTTGAGGTTTACTTTTAATCGCTTGCGTAAAGAGTTACTTTCATATTTTCCGACATTTTTATTTTATCTAAAGTTCAGCTTTCGTGGCCCACAACTTATGTCCAAATAATAGAAATGATTATTAAAATTATTTTAGAAGAAGTTAAATATATATTGGTACTGCATAGCAAAGTTCGTTGTAGCAAAAATATTGGCTAATCAACGTAGCCTGGACGCAGAGACCAAGATGAAAGCAAATCTTGTAATTCACATCTGAGTGGCTACTGAATTGTGTCTCCCAACAGGCCAAGGACTACAACTGAGCTACAACTGCCGATTGACCTAATCAAGCCTAACAACTTTTCCATTGAAAGTGAATAGTAATACTTAATTATAATACATTAGCTGAGCTGTTGTATAAATGCTATTTTCGTGCACTGGAAAATGTTAACATCGCGGCCAACAACAAGGCATACCAAACATATTTGCATGCATTTGGTTTGAAATAAACTTGCAATGTTCTTTTTGCTTTGTGCACCACATGAAACAGATGTTAAGAAAATCCTTTAAGGGTTTTGTGGTATTTGATAAACACGCACCCAGGGAGCGGATCAGAGCTCGCAACCCGAACCTTTTTACAAACACTTGTCGTGCTGTCTAGTCAAACAAAAATGCTGCGACCTCAGACATATACAAGTGAGCTATATATGTACGATATGTATTCCATTCCATAGCACGTTCAGGTCTCTAGAATAAGCCAAGCACCAAATGGAAACAGGACGCTTAGTCTGTTGTCCTGGCAACTAACAAAAAAAAGTTATGCACTATGTGTGAAGGGAATCTTTTCTACTGATTTGGTCGCCTCTATGAGTGCGAGTATCGCATGTATTTCGAATCATTTTGATTCTGCTTTTTTACTATGGCAATGCTAAAAATAAAGCAAAAGAAAAACAACGATGGCAATACGCCAACAACAAAGCTTCCAATAGCAGCTCCAAATGATAACCGAACAGCATCTTATTATGCAAATTGCTATTTTATGCTTTCATTCCATTGTATGCCATTTCAATGCTTGGGCTTGACGTTGCTTCGCCATTTTTCTGGGAAAACCAATAAAAGCCCATTAGTGAAATGTGAGTCAACTGTTGTAGTCCTTGTTGCTGTTGTTTTTGCAAAACAAATGACAACACCAGCTACAATCGCAGCAGCAACAACAACAAACAATTTAACAAATTATCGCCTTCAACCATAATTGGCTTAAATTAGTCTTAAAGCTATGTTTTTCGTTTAACTTAGCCCTTTTAATGTCTTGCTTTTCACATGCAAATTGCAACGAAATGTCAACAGACTCCACTCCTTGAGATTAAATTAGATTCCTGTGTACCAAGTCAGCCCCCGACTGCATTCAATGACTTCCATTTCAAATACACTTGAAGCTTAAAAACATATTAAACGGTTAATACCCATTACACTGATCAACCGACAGTTGGTATTTGCTTTTCTATTAAAGTGACAAATAAAGTCAATCGAAATTCATCAGTCTGTTAGCTTTAAGTTATTTAACAACTTGTTCAGGCTTTTAAAACGCTTCACCATTATTGCTAATAAAAGGTTTTCTCTCTCTTTCTATATACGAGTTTATAAAATGCTGCTTTTCCCTATTAAATTACTTAGGAGAAGGGCGCGAAAAATCCAGCTCGCAAGCGGATGAAAATATATTAAAATTATAATAAGAATTTGCGTCGAAAAACTATCTAGCGCTCGACCATTTAATTTAAATGTAAAAGCCGTAAGCTGTTATATTTGTAAAATGTTATTTAGTTTATATTCTTAATTAGGTGCAATTTATGTTATGGTTATGGTATTCTATAATTCTCTGCCCTCTACAACGTTGTAACCCAAGAACTTAAGTGAATTAAAAACTAAGCGTAAATGTTTTTATACCCTGTACGCGTAGGGCATATAGGTTTGTGCAAAGTGTGTAACATGCAGAAGGAAGCATCTCCGACCCCATAAAGTATATATATTCTGAATCAGCATGACGAGAGAAATCGATCTAGACATGTCCGTCCGTCCGCCTGTCCGTCCGTCTGGATGAACGCAAGTATCTCAGAAACTATTAGAGCTAGAATAACCAAAGTTGGCATCCAGATTCTCCTAGGTCCGAGAAAGGACGAGTTTATTTTATTTTTTGGAATTTCGCCGCCCTTCCCCCGAATTTCCCCCACATTTCAAATGCTACCTTAACCAAACTGTTTAAAATTTTATCCAATTCGGTCAATTCCAAGAAAAGTTATTAGCGAAACAAATTCTCTACAGTACAACCCCCAAACTGCAGCAACAAGTTCGCTCTTCTTCTTCCTCTTTTTGGGCGCATATAACTCAGTGACGGAAGCTTACCTGGGTACAGGGTATTACACTGTCCGGCTTGCTCGACTGTAGCGTTCTCTCTAGTTGTAGTTCAAGCATTCCCTATTAAATCCCAAAACTGATTCACTTAACTGATTGGCATATGCTCGTACTTTTGGAAATCTGCAGCTTTGGGCCTTTTTGCTTGGCATCGACTAAATATAATAACCATGTTCATGATGTATGAATAATTTGTACGCAACATAATTAATCAATTTTGTTTCAATTTCTAGTGAAACAGATTAACTGCACCCCCGGGGGTGATGTCAGATGCAAAGGTGAACTCTGTTGCGTGAAAATATTGCAGCAGAGTCTTGCAACAAACGTTATGCATGTCATTTGAGGGCCAAGAGTATTTCAGCTATTATTTACATGAATATGAGCGATGGGTACAATTGTGCTGCAATTCCCTTTAATTGCAATAAGTCCCTTGTGTACTTACTGTGTGGTTTCTGAGCTGAAAATGGAAATGAACATGCACATGAAAGTTCTCAAATTAAAATGGAAATAGCATTTGGCTACAAGTTGACAAGATTTTTACATTTTATTTACACATTTACACACCTATATTCAAACAAATTGTCGGCTTAAAAGTACAGGGTGCGCCATCTTTTATGTCGGTATGTAAACATTGAATATATTTCAAAATAAACAACCGATTTTCAAGTATGAGATATTTTTATTTAATTTGGTTCTGTACAATTTCTTGAACTGAGGTTTTCAACACTGGTCTACTCAAGTCAATAAAAAGATGGCGCACCCTGTATTAGCTAAACGAATTAATTTCTAGACATTACATACATGAATAATTCATTGCATATGCATGTTTTTTATGGGTCTATTATATTTACAATGGTTTATTTCGTTTATAAGGTCATTTGTATAACAATAACAAATAATGTATAATACAAGTATATTCGTTTTTTTAACATTAGAGAATTAGACTCGCGAAATATTCGATCTGCGATATGAATTACATTTAAATATATGTATGTTGTTCAGGTTATTTATTTATTTGTTTACTTATTCTAACAAGTTCACAACAATTAAAACTTACAGCTCTTCGATGATATTGTATATAGCACACACATATCTGCAAAAACGATTCAAATATACAGTAGAATATCCGTATAACTAACTAGAGATGGGCGTCAAATGGGTGTTGTTTTTTAAATATGTCTAAATTGTTCAATTTATTTGAATGTTTAATGAAGTTATTCCCACGTGAATTTATATAGTTCAATAATTAAAAAGTAGGATTGGGGTTCAAATAATTTCAGCCCTATTTCATTATTTTTCAACTTTAAAAACAAATATATTTCTCAGCTATTTTCAGCATGCTCTTTAAAAGATGCTTAAATAAATGGAATTAAGATGCAAATATATTCTTCCTCGCGTATTTCTTAATTTATTGCATAATTTATTTTAAAAACGTATACAATCTATAATTCTTAATGTTGACCAACAATTTTCAGGTAAATTTTTGTAAATATAAAATATTTTAAATTAAATTTTTCCGCGCCCATCTCCAATCCTTTTCGTTGTCCTACAATGCGTGTGTGGAAAATTTGACTACAAAATTTGTCTGCTTTTCTGCATCGAACGGTATATTCACATCAATATGTACAGATATAGTGCCGTCGCGTAAACATAAATAATTTTTCTCTCAGTTTTATTATGAAATGTTGCTCATAATGTCTGCACTATAGTACAGTAAAGTTTGAAGAAATTCGCTTAAAAGCAAAAACAGAAACTTGCCTCTAATTTTGATTAACTTTCACATTCTTTAGGCCTTGTCGACACTAAACGTTTTCGTTAGGCGAAGTGAAACCCTTGAGGAAATCCAAACTAAAAATCAATTCTCGCTTGTGCGCCACTTAAATGCCATTTAATGGCATCACAGCTGCTTAATAGCCGTTTTAGAGACATGCTTGTTAACTCGTCCCTGTTGGCCATGGCTGGTGTGTTCCGAATGCGAGCTCGACTGCGACTGCGATTGTGATTGTGATTGCTCGACGGGGTTATTGTCCTCATCACATGAGATATATTTGATTTTCAGATGGTGTCTTTCGCCGGCTCCGTTGTGTATGGAGAGGCAAATGGGCGAGCTGTTGCCATCTGGATGCCGCTCCATAATGCACTCGACAGCGGCCCGATTCATGCTCTGCAGTGTTGCCGGCTGCTTGTCGCGGAAGGAGGTGGTGGCGGCCTGTTGGATTTGTGTCTCCATAGTGCTGCGTTTCCACATGCTCTTTTGTTCGGCTGCAGATTATAGAATATGTAGGGCAAGGACGGGGGAAGATCCAGATGTTAAATCATTATCATGTTATCTCTAACCGACATGCGTACCTCTGGTATGGCGTTGCGAACTGTTTTTGTTCGTTAGTCGACTTTTGGGCGAGTCGAATTTGTGGCGCTTAAAGCTGGCACAACAGCAGCAAATGATGCTCTGGAAATAGACGCGAAACCTGCAAGAGACATATGTGTACACCTGAAAACACCTATTCAATTGTAAGTCCCCACTCCCCAGGCCCTCTTTTCACACACACCGCTTGTTCATCCAGTAGTAAATAATGGGATTCACCATGGCATTTGACATGGCCAGCCAGTAGAAACCGAGGTACATATGCTGGACATACTTGGTCGACGCCACCTGATTATTATGATAGGCATAGATGAAGAACATGTGATAGGGTAGCCAGCAAATGGCAAATATCGAGACAATAGCGATGAACATTCGCACGACTTTTCTCTTCGACTTCATAGACTCCATTTGCCTTTCCGTATTCTCGCCAATAGAGCGACTGCCCCAAAGGACGCGTCCCATCAGCGTATAACATACAAGCATCACAATCATGGGTATGCCGTAGGTCAGCACCAGAATAATGAGATTATAGCTGTTCGTGTATTGGAAGAGTTGAAGAGTGATGGAGAGAGGAAAAATAAAATAAAACAACCGTTTACTACATACACATAATCCGTAATCGATGTAGGATAACGTCCGTCCGGCCACATCATAAAGCACACCGTGCGAGATTTTCCATTATAGTAGCTGAGAAAAGAAAAAAGCCCAATGAGAATTTTATGGAAGGAAGGGAATTTAACAAGAGAGAACGCTACAGTCGAGCAAGCCCGACAGTGTAATACCCTGTACCCAGGTAAACTTCCGTCACTGAGTTATATGCGCCCATAGCAGCAGCAAAAAGAGGAAGAACAAGAGAGAACGCTACAGTCGAGCAAGCCCGACAGTGTAATACCCTGTACCCAGGTAAACTTCCGTCACTGAGTTATATGCGCCCATAGCAGCAGCAAAAAGAGGAAGAAGAAGAGCGAACTTGTTGCTGCAGTTTGTGGGGGTTGTACTGGCGAGAATTTATTTTGCTAATAACTTTTCCTAGAATTGACCGAATTGAATAAAATTTTATACAACAGTAGACAATTATATATAAATTATGTGTGCACAGTTTGGTTTAGGTAGCATTTGAAATGTGGACGCTATTGACGAAATTCTGTAGCGGGGGAAGGGGGGGAAAATTAAAAAAAATAAAATAAACTCGTCCTTACTCGGACCTAGGAGAATCTGGATGCCAACTTTGGTTATTCTAGCTTTTATAGTTTCTGAGATCCTCGCGTTCATCCAGACGGACGGACAGACGGACGGACGGACGGACATGTCTAGATCGATTTCTTTCGTCATGCTGATTCAGAATATATATACTTTATGGGGTCGGAGATGCTTCCTTCTGCATGTTACATACTTTGCACAAACCTAATATACCCTTTTTACCCTACGGGTACAGGGTATAAAAATTTATTTTAGTTACGAACATTCTTCCGATTTTATTAATTTTCCCTAAACTTCTTATGCACAAGAAATGTAAGCAAATTAAAAACAAATCTTGTTTCTTTTTAAAACAAATATAAGTTTATAAAGCATAATGGTGCTGTTTACAATTGCTAATGAATTAATCTGCAGCATAATGCCTAGAAGTTACTTTTAGGTTAAAAAAAACCGTACCTTCGTAGAATTTTATTGCTTTCAGTTTAATATAAAAAACAACATAAACTTTGGGGCCCCTTTCTGTTTTGTTTGTGTTACGTTAAATGTTTTTACCGTAGCCATCGACGCTATTAACAATTCTATCATTTAATTACTTCTCATTTCTCCGACTCCGTGGCACCCTCTCGTTAAATTGCTTTCACGCCCAAAATGTCAAAAGAAAACAAAAGCAAACTTTCGTGCTTTAACATTTTAACGCCTCCCCTTGTTGACCCCATGAAGGTTTGTTTAACTGCAAAGTACGGAGAAATGCCACAAGGAGGTGGAAGGAAAGGTTACCACCAAAGTGTTCGGTACTCAGTATTCGGTGGCTGTCCATCCATTTAACACGCCATTTATTTATTTTCAGTCAATGTCGTCTGCGACTCATGCAACAAATTGAAAACTTAATTTGGCAAATTATGGCGAATTTTATGCGACCATTGCGTCATCGTCGGCCGGGCACTTAAAAGAAATTTGGTGGCAGCCGAGGCCATTATGAATGTCAGACAGGTAATAATTTTGGCAGACCCGGGACGCCAACAAAAAATCAAACGCCCCAGGGACTCAACAGCTTCATGGCAGACAAACTCTTACTTTTATTTATTTATTTGAAATTACATTTAAAATTGGCATTCTGCTGGAGAGCAAGAAAAACAAATTTAAACCATCAGTCAACAAAGATTTTTTGAATAATGCAACAAGTAGAAGAAAATATATTTCAACTTTAAACAGCTTTTCTACTTTTAGACTTTCATTTAAAATGCAGACAGGCAACATTTTTGCTTAAAATTTGTATCAACGATGCAAATTAATCGACAACATTTAATTTGCTGTTCACAAGCACAGCAAAAATGTTGTCTTATCGACATGAAACAAAATATTTCAACATTCATTCGAAATTTTCTGGCAAACTTTTAAGTTGCTTTTCTAACTGGCAATATCTAAATGAAAATGTTGGTAAACTGCACACATAATTGCAAATGCTTTGTTGTAAAATTGCTCACACAAACTTTAACAAACATTATTTAGATTTTGAAAAGTTTCGGTGTTTCAGGGACCCCTAGGGTCTCTCACCAAAGTTCTATGGCATTTGTGCAAAAATGTTTTCCAGTCCAAACTTAGTAGATCGATATTCAGCTTCCTTAAATTTGTTTTTAAAGCATATTCAGAAATTGTGTAAAAATCAAACTACAAGTACTTACATATTCGAATAGCTTTTCGATGGTAATGTAAGACGACTTATGAAAATATATAATCTATAATAAAAATAAATTTCAGAAAACTATTCTTACTTATTCTTACTATGTATGTATAATAATTATTGTTATAGCTAACATATTCCAACATAAAAAGCTACATCTGTCTATCTATGTATCTATATATCTAATAGCCATTGAAATAATGCAAGTGCCTATCATCAACATGTTAAATAATTAAAGCCAGCTTACGTGCATTCTTCTCACCATAATTTGATTGAGGTTAATGGAAGAAGATCCACTTTAATTGTGGATAGGTAGTAAGAGCATTTATGGTATGGCTGTTATGCCATTACCTGTCGAACTTTTGTTTTATCCGTAAATTGTGTAACTACTTTGAGTTTCCACAAATATGCCACAAATACCCACACAGCGGCCGGTTGCCATAGAACTATCGAAAGTCAGTCGTCTGTTTGTTTATATTGGAATTTGCAATATTTCATAAGTTCAGGTGTTCGTTACCGGGGAGACTTTTTGTATCAAATTTGCGCTTTAGTGTGAAAACAAAAGGAGGCTAAACGGCAAAAAGCGAAAATAAAAATGCTTCCATTCTGTTAAATGGCCCTATACTGGAACTTGCCAAGTCACGCATTTGCATAAAATGTAAATGAAAGCACAACAATCGAGGTGATTTAGAAAGATGTGTGTGTGTGCATATCAAAAGGCCAGAACAAGTCAGCCAAGCAGCCAGCCCGCCAGCCAGGCAAGACCAACACTGAGTTTTATCTCTCGAATGGAATTTTCGTATTTTCCTTACTTCTCTGCTCTATTCGGCATCGTAATGCATAAGTCTGTGAATGTGCACAGGCAGACAGTCACGTTCGTCGACCATGAATGAGGAAGCCCGTGGCTAACAGTTTTTCTGGCAACAGCAGCATTTAATCGACGAACGCACAGCAAGCGGCCAAGAAGCTCAAAAACTGCCGCTGCCGGCACTGCAGGTGGCTTTGGCCTTAAATATGAAAAAAGCCCACCATTACTTGAGTTACGGCTTACAAAGTTGTTTATGTTGCTTACTCTTTTTTTCTTTTTTTTTTTGCCGCCTTTAGTTTTTAGACTACCCGCCATAAATATACGTGTAAGCCAAATTGTCTAGCTCTCGCGGCCAGGTGCCTCAGCCTCAGGTGACTATCTTTCATCTTTCTCACCCGACCTTGCAGTCCGTTGCCAATTACCCACTTACCGCTTTGTCATGGTGCTACTGTAGAGCAGGCAGGGCGCTGACAGAACACAACTCAGGGCCCAGATCAGCACCAGTATAAAGCGCACCTTCCGCCGCGACGTCCGACGCTTCAGTGGATGCACAATCGCGATATATCTGCGAGAAGAGAAGAAGAAAAACACACGCCAACAACGAAAGTCGAAATGAAATGGTGTGGAAGCAGCAAAAATATGATGGAAAGGGCTAGTGATGTCAGCGTGAGAAAGCGGAAAATTCTTCCTGGGAAATTGACATTGATTTAAGTTATGGACAGACACGCAAATAATTAGGTTTGTTGTCAGTTATTGGGGAACTAATTGATACCGTATTATTATCTATTTACTAATATTTACCAATTTAAATCAATTTTATAATTTCCATAATTAATTTTTTATATAGAATTAGGAATTAATTATAAGCAACAATCATCATTTTATTTGGTTGATATTTCGTTATGACTTCAGCACTCTTTTAATAATAGGAACATGTTTAATTGTTTAATTTCGACTTAAAGGAGGAATTTTAATTGAATTTTAGTTTAATTTGCTGGTTTTTGTTAATAATTCCCAACCAGTTTACGCGCACCAAGAAGTAATCGCCTCAACAATATCTGTCAAAAGTTTGTAATTTGGTGTAAATGGATTGCTGGGCCGGTCTTTAAAAATCTTTAGTTTAATTATTACACTCAACTAGTGAAGGCTACAACTACAGTTAATCTCTTTAAAACTAGGTGGACCTGAAGTTTAATATATGGACACTTCCTTTATGGAACACTTCAACAGACAGAACTAACGTTTAATAGAAATACAGCGTTCCCAGACTTACGATTATATTAAAGTATATTTAACAAGAAAGTACTTGTAGGAACTCTAACAATAATATACAACATATAGGAACGACATTTTATGGTCGATGCGAATAAAGAGCCCATCTCTTATCACTCGCTTACAAGCGATTAAAAGACGCCAACGCACTCACCTGTCAAAGGAGATGGCCACCAAGGTGAAGACTGAAGTGGAAACCGTAACATTGGCCATAAAATTATTGATTGTGCAATAAATCGAGCCAAATGGCCAATCCGAATTCAGCATGAATATAAAGTTGAAAACACAATTCAGCGAGGACATTAGCAGATCCGCAATACTCAAGTTTAGCAGGAAGTAATTTGTGACCGTTCGCATGCTGCGATGTCCTGCAAGAACGACATAGCGCGAGAGAGAAAGGTAGAGAGAAAAACGTGACGTAGAAGGCAAAATGCCGGAAATTCGTTAAATAGTGATGATGATAATGGTGTGTGTAAACATTTCGCATTATTACGTATCCAACACGCCGGCCAATGTTTTGAGCTCGCATTTAGCCACGAGGCGTATGCGCAATTTAAAGCGCATTAAATATTTGCACTTCCGCTTCTCTAACACGAACATTAGCTATTACACAATTTTCAATTGCCTGCGGCATTATTCGCTAATAATTGCTGGAGTTTAACCGAGATGACCAGCGTGCTTTGTGGATGAAAATGGTTTTGTATGCATTCAAAAGCCATCCACTGTCAAAGGCTTACCCGTCACAATCCACAACACAATGCCATTTCCCGCAATGGCCACGAATAGCATCAGTCCGAACACAATGGCCCAAATGGTTTTTTGTTCCCATGGCAATTCGTAGGGTCGCGTCGGTGATGGAAATAGACATTCAGTGAGGAAATCTCTGCGGGAAAAAGATAGAGAGCGGGAAACACAAACACATTGAATGGCAATGTTAAGGAAAACAACAGCTTACAAAAATATATATATAACTATGGTTGGTTGTATTGGTTGCAATGTAAACTGAAAAATAAACAAACTGCTTTCATGTACAGATACCCAGGTGCGTATGGAAATATGAACAGATAAATATTATGTATTCAGTAGTATGAATGAATAACCCAAAACAATGGCTCATTCCCAAACTACAGATACAATTGTTTTACAGGAAATCGGCATCTTTATTTTCAATCAAAACACACTCTCTGCCACCTGATGTCTTTTTTACTAATCAAATAATATTTTTTATATGATTAGTTACGCTTATTTGTGTGCGCTGGAAATTTATTTCTTTATTTTCAAAATGCACATATATTTGTCATTAAAAAAAATGGGAGGAAAATGAAATGTAATATATTTTTCACAAATCAAAACGTGTTGTTTACTGTTATTCAATTACGAACGCTGGAATTTAATTAATTGTTGTTTTTTTTTTTTTTAAATGAAACCGCACTTTGTGTCACGAAATTATTTTTACAAATCAAGGAATGTTAGTTGTTAATTGATAGATGCATAACTTTTAATTAGTAAGTACAAATGGATATTCTATTGTAGTGTATAGAAATTCATTTCAAAGCAATTTACATTCATAAAAAAACCAAATAACATTCAATTTAGTTAAATATTAAATCAAACACTTGTGTATTATCTCCTATTTACCAAATTTTGAAATTTGTATGAGATTTAATTTCAATTATTATAAAGGCGCACATTTTTGTGAAAATGTTTATTTATTGCCTTAATTTATTGTAATTTATCTTTATTTATTTTAATTTATTTTAATTAATTTTAATTTTCAATTGTTGGGAGACTAAATGAAGCTAAAATATTAGATAAGTAGTTCCGTGCCTTTTTTTTGTTGGACTGGAACTTCATTCAATTTTTGAATTCCTTACATTCACAATTTCTTGTGTTCAAATAACAATAACAGTTTTATCTGTTGTATCTATAAATAAAAGGGCAAATGCATATTTGTAAAAAAACATGTGCAGATGCTCTTAGCAATAGAAAGATAATCAATGAAGTACGTATAGGTTGACAATTTGGAAAGGAAATTCACATTCCCAATGCTTACATTGAAGGCTTGAAGCCTTTTCTACGAAACAACCCAGAAATCCAATCCAATTTAACCTGCATTCGATTTATGACGGATCTGATAGGTAAGCAAATGCCATGATTCTCTGAATTCCTGTAAGTCGCTTGTTGTCTTTAACGACTTTTCCGGCTCTTGGCTTTTCCTCGAATTATGCACAATCACGAGATAAATTTAAGCAGGCTGCGGTCAAAGCCAAACATGGCTCATGACAAAGCCTTATTTAGCATACTAAGTAGTAAGTAGAGGGGGAAATTATGCTAATCAGAGGTGTATGGGCACATGGCCTCTGATTTGATCGAACTAATTAATATGTGGCTGGGATTTGCAGAGCTATAATTTGAGATTAAAGCGAGATGTTGCTCATTTATTAATTTAAGATTGTTCTTTCTTTTGTGCGGGAGTGAAAAGTACATTGAAAAGAATTATTTTTTTTATTAATTTAAAAATCCACAAAAATGTTAACAACCACAAACATAGTCCAATGTTCATATCGGTTTTCATTTAAAAATGTTCTACGAGAGATAAGTTTTGCCACGAAAGTAAAAAAACACAAAAAAAAAAACAAAAAAAAATAAAAATCAATATATAACATTCATTGCAGATTTAATTTAATGACAAATTAGTGCATAGGGTAAGAAATGAAGGGTTTAAATACTGCGTAAAATCATTTAAAACAGCGTTAAGTCAGCCTTAGCCTTTCTTTAGTTTCACGAAAGCGAGACAATGCTTTCATTGGAAGTCCTACGTTATGTCGATGTTAAAACTTGGCTTAGAGCCTCATTTAACTCCTCGCATATCTCTTTTCGAAAATTATAGAAACATATCGAGTGATTCCCGGTGTTGATATCGAGTGGCTCTGATTGGATAGCTGTTGATTGTCGCCGTCAGCTGCTGGCTGCTTGTTAAGTGGCTGCTGACAACCATGTCCCTTTTAATTAGAGAGCTAAACAATCACAATGCCACTTCTCGGAGACCAATTCATTTCAATTGTCTGAGTGTGTTCAATGTGGCGTATGAGTCATCAGATGTCTGATTTCTGAATTGTCTACCCTTGTCGACAATGCACGGCTTCAAATGCAGCAGACACAATTCCGATGAAATCTAATAACACATTTTTCCTACTTCTTCATCTACTTGTAAGAGACAATTTATGCGAATATTTGGTTTCTGCATTTGTTGTGGTTGCTGTCTGCTCAAATGAATGGAAAGCCCAATAACACCCACATATTGAATTTTTTCGTTTAAGTCCTTAATTTTTTCTCTGCAACAGTCATTGGAATCAAATGACACATGCTGATTAAATCACCGATTGATTGATTGATTGACTGGTAATGTCGCCTGGTTGTCGAATCAAAACCAGAGCCATTGCTGCATCGTGTCATAATTAATGTTAAATGATGCATAATTATAAAAGGCATTATATATCTGCTGGCAACACAGGCATGTATTTCAATTCATTTTTTACCTTTATGTGCAAAAATAAACAGCAATTTAAAATTGCCGCAGCATTTATTGGTGCATAATGCTGGATGTTATTACAGATGCAACAGATGTGCATCTGTCACTCAAATTACGATAATATTTGCTACAGAATTTAAATTGTGAAAATTTATTGGAAATAAATATGGAAAATTTAATTGAGATTTCCTCTTATTCGTCTCCCATTTAAATGCAGTTTCAACATTAGTGTCTCTGAAATATTATTCAAGTTAGCTCTCTCCCTCAAGCGATTCAAGAATCAATTATCCAATTTTTTTTAAATTTTATTGTGCAAAAAATTTAAACATATCATTTATTCGAACGAACTTTATTCTATCTTCCTTAATCAACCTAAATCGCGGGTAATTTTCCAGTGCAATATTTTTCACAAATGGGAAGAGTAATGTTTTTGTTTTATCTATTTCTGCGTTCTAATCATAAGATGGGGCTACTAATTTGAAATTAAATGGCACAAATGTTCAGCATTGTTTGCAAATACATAGATACTAACTTACTTAATTAGCGCTGGCTAATACAATATCGACTTGATTATCAGGCATCAGAGAAGGCCAAATTGGACACGTATGTGGCCGCCCGAATGGCTGCTAAATGAGACTCTATCTGTGTTGGTGTGTGTGTGCGTGCGTTTTCGGAAACAATTCCAAATAATTAACGTTACTCATACGCCATGTAGTAGCAACAAACGAGGAAACAAGCCAAGCACAACACGACGCCTCATAGCAAATATTTCAGGCCAAATTGCAAGTTGTGTTGAAAAACAACCAAAATTGTGTTTATGTGTGCGTGTGTGTGGCAGCTTTCCAAAAAGTTACGAAAACCATTTTAATTGTGGTCAGCCACATTCATTTGTTAGCCTACAAGGCCCGTTGTTTTAGACATTAAAGCACATTTCCCAAAAAAGTTTGGCAGTATTGGCAGCGCAACAATGTAATGCGCATTGAAAATGTCCATAATGTCCGCAGCTAATTAACATATTGTTTTAATTTAAGGAATTCGCTTTTAATTTTTAAAGCTTATTTTGTAAAGATTTTGTAGTATGTTTTTGTGTGTGTTCGATTTTAATTGCTTTCCATTATAAATGTAAATTAAATTTCGTTGCATTCATTTAATAGAAATAAAAAAAACTTCTAATGTTATTTGTAAAATATTTGCATTATTGAGTTTTGGGGCATGTGCAGCATTAACTGTGGCCCAAATTCCTCGCCTCGTCTGACATTTGACTGAAATTACAAGAAAAACCAACAAACAAACAAACGCCTTTGGCAAAAGCTCGTTAGGAAACAAAGAGTTTTTGAAATTCCACGATTTTTTTTTGGAACCGACAGGAAACTCTTGTAATTGCCTTCTCAGCCTTTGGGCTCAACATGAATTCTTACAATTTTCGTTGCCTACTTTTCGGCTGTGGCTGACAGCCTGCAGACACACGCACAGATCTGAGATGTAAAGTCAATGAAATCCCCTGCATCGCCAATAAGACACCCAAAATAGAATTTTCAATTCACATTCACGCTAAGTGCGCAAATTGATAGCGACTTTTTATTTATTCAATAGATACTTTGTATCATCAATTTCATTCCCTTTGTTTTATTTTCAATTTGATGTCTACTGACTATTAGCACCGCAAAAGACATTGGAAGAGTGGTATGCATAAATAAATCTTTCACATTTTTATTTTGGTATTATTTAAATCCACTAAAATAATAAAACTATGGAAAACACGGTTGAACAGTTTATTTATTTATTTATTAAGTATTCAATAACAATTAATAATATTTTAATTCTAAAGTATATTATTTAAAGGCTATCTATCAAGATAATAGGATTAACATATATATTTATATACATTTTTTTTATTGCTATTATTTAGGTATCCGTTTATCATTTCTATATTAAAGGGGTGGATCCCATCTGTTATCCGTTCTAATAAATTGTTTACTTTAAACTTTTATAAATAAAAAAGTGGCATATTTATGACAAGAAATTTAATCCATCCAAGATATTCTCAAAAAAATTAATACATATTAAGTGTTAATAATAATTACACACTTTTATTTGAGCTTAAATATTCCTTAATTTCCTTTCTTTTTACTTAATACTTTTATAAATGTGAAAACCTTTAATATCTGTAACTAAATTTGGAAATAGCAACCTTTTCAAACCGTTCCACTTAAAACCAATGTCTATATTTTTTTTAACAAAATAGACAAATGACACACTTTTCAAACAGATTGAAACAATTACAACTTTTATAATACAATAAGTAAAGCTTATTCCAACAAGAAACGGATATTTGTCAGAAAAATAACATT